TTGTTTTGAGGTTTAAAACAATTAAATTACAAAGCGGCAGCAGCCAATGCACGCCCCTGCATGCAGCCCTCCCGCCCGCCCTTCGTGTCTGTCTCTGCTGTACCGAGGTGTTTTTTACATTTAAGAGAAAAAAAAAAAAAAAGAAAAAAGATTGTTATAAAAAAAAATGGAATCCATACCATGATGCGTTTTAAAACCACCGATTCGCCCTTGGGCTGGCAAGAAGACAAGAGTCTGTGACGCCCATCCTGGCATGAGCAGCGGGTTCACCCACCAGCCCTGAAGAGGTGAGCTCGGCCTCTGGCCCCCATGGACTCAGGGGGACCAGGCAAGAACTCTGACAGAGCTTTGGGGGCCGTGATGTGATTGTAGCCCTTGAGGTGGCCTGCTTACCCCAGGTCTATGAATGGACTTCTTCAGAACTTGCACAGGCACCTAGAATGAGACTGAGAACATTGTGGCCATCAGACCTACTTGGGAGAGAGCACAGATCTCCCAGCCTGCTGTGGAGGCAGCTGAGAAGCAGTGACCTCAGGACTGAGGGCCTGGATGTCATTGTACTGTTCAATTTAGCGTAGAAGGGAAGAGAATTGGTGCTGCAGAAGCGTTACCGCTACGAAGCTGATGAGAAACCCCGTTAGTCTGACATGCGCTCACTTACTCATCCATTTCTATAGGATGCACAATGCACGTGGGCCCCGATATTGAGGCCTTGATCCCTGCAGCTGGGAAAGGGGAGGGGTTGCTGCTTTGCTTCGTGTTTGTTTTCTTATAACTTAGCAAGGAGAGAGCCAGGCACTGACCAGGGCTCCCCTTACCGCCTTTGGCAGTTCTGTTTCTGTGCTAATATGGACCATCTTTGTCTTGCCTTTTCATTGTGGTGGTCCCCGTGCTGACCCTCATCTGGGCCTGGGCCCTCTGCCAAGTGCCCCTGTGGGATGGGAGGAGTGAGGCAATGGGATAAGAGGTGGTGGTCGTTCTATGCATTTGGGCTGCCCTCAGGGCTGCCTCCCTTCTTACTCTTCTTCCCTTGCTGCACGTCCATCTCTTTTTCCTGTCTTCGAGATTGACTGACTGCTCTGGTAAGAAGAGGCATCGTCTTTAAAGAGGCCTCTTTACTGACCAACTGAAGTAGAGACTTACTGCTGGACAATCTGCATGGGCATCATCCCTGTCACCTGCATGTACCCAAAAAGAGGTGTCCAGAGCCAATCTCCTACCTTCATTGTCCCTCTCTGTGCTCAAGGAGTCCCATTCCAGGAGGGAAAGATCTGTACCTTAAGCAGAGAGCAGAGAAGAGGGAATGGAGGAGCAACTGGTCATGGCCTTGGTTTCCCCCGAAACAACTGTGCAGATTTATCTGCACAAATATGTGCACTTTTGGGGGAAGGTTGGATAAACTCCAGCTCCCTGGACTACCTTCAGGAGGCACAGGAGCTGGGAGAAGGATCACGGCTACAGGCTTACATTGGAATCAGCTGAGGAGAGAGCAAACTCAAGGTGCTGGTGCTTGGATTTAGCCAGGCTCCTCAGAGCACCTCATGCATGCCCCAGTCCCTGGGCCCTAGTCTTTTCCTGCCCTGCAGCCTCCAGTGCCAGCACGCAGATACTTTCACCACAGGGTTTGGTTTTGCTGGCTTGAAGACAAATGGTCTTAGAGTTCATTGAGACCCATAGCTTCATATGGCTGCTCCAGCCCCACTTCTTAGCATTCTTACTCTTCTGGGGCTAATGTCAGCATCTATAGACAATAGACGATTAAAAACAAAATCACCTTTTAAACAGGAAATGGAAGGCATTTGATGCAGAATTTTTGCATGATGACATAGAAATAATTTAAAAATAGTGTTTGTTCTGAATGTTGGTAGACCCTTAATAGCTTTGTTACAATGAAACCTTGAACTGAAGATATTTAATAAAATAACCTTTAAACAGTCCATTGTGTTACTGCTGTTGAAGGCTTATGGCCAAAGGCTTAATTTTAAGCCTGTGTTACAGGTTTCAGATGGCGACAGGTACCTTCGCCCCACTCCTTTCGGGCCCTTTTTAGAATAAAACTTCCTCACGAACTCATCAGCCTGCAGCCGGCCCACGGGGCCCCCTAAGCGGGCGTGGGGTAGGGTGGGAGGACGTGAGCCGGCCCTGGAAGGACTCAGGGTCTCGCCCCGCCCCCAGGCCCCGCCCGCTTCGAGGGCCGCCCCTGCTCCCCCCGCCCTCCGTGGGCCGGCCCCGCTCCCCCC